AGAGAGAGAGAGAGAGAGAGAGAGAGAGAGAGAATTGTATTGACTTTTGAACGCCTGATGGTATAAACTCAATAGCCGTATACACGACACAAATATTATGTGCACATGAAATGTCAGTACAATTAAACTACCATAGAGTGAATGAGAGTGTATTTATATGAAGTGTATATTTATTTTTGTTAATCTAGTTGTAATACTAAAGAAATATATTTTATTTTGGTCAGTTTAGTAAATGGATGTTGACCATTTTATAAATTGAGTTGTTTGTATTTATTTTGTGATTTTGTTGTTGTTAAGTAAATATAATTGTTATATGAATTAAATATGCAGTCATGTTATGTAAAGTATATGACTTTACAATTATTATTTTAACTATAATTATTATTAATTAATATAAATTAAAATGTTTGATGAAGAACAGTCGGATAATAATCGCCGGTTAAATGAGCGGAAATACGTTTTGCGGTTATTTTTGCGTAAGTTTTAATACAATATTATTGTTTTTAATAATTTCTATTTATTAATGAACATAATTTTTATTATTAATCCATTATTGCATTTTATTTTTAACATTATATTTTATTTTGTTTATATTTTTATGAGTTTTTACATTAAATTGTAATATATTGCAAGTATTAATAATCAGTTAAATATGTAAATAGTTAATGATATTATAACATTAACTATACAAAAATTTTAAAACAACATTTTCAAAACTAATATTAAATATTTACTAACACTAAACATCTTATTTATTATGTCTTTATAAAAATAGAGATTTAATCGCTTGAAAAACTATATAAATAAAATTTAATCCATTTTGCAAAAATATATTTATATAATGTTGAAATGACTACATTTTATTTATATTTCCCATAGACTTAAGCAAACAATGAAAATCAATAAAATATACTTTAAATAAAATTACTTATATTACTTATTTGTACTAAAAAGTATATATGACATTTTACCAAAAATTACAATAATTAAAAGCTAAAAATTATAGCTTATTACAATATTCATGCTAAGAATAAATGCAATTTTTAAATGCAACTAATGATTGCATAATTATGAAAGCAATTATATTTTGCAGTTAAATGCAATAAAATGCAGTTAAATGCAAATAAAAATATAATTGAAATAATGATTGCTATTAATACTGTACTTACTTGCATAACAAAAGTTACATAGAGTATAAAATAATGAGATGAAATTCATTGAAATATTTTTGGTACATAAGTACACTATTCATTGTTAAGGCTATGAATAAATAATATCCAAAACTAAACTTATTATTAAATCAGATATCAGTTGCAAACGTTGAAAACAACTATTGAATTGCAAACTATAATTAAAAAATCTTATTACAAAATAAATTTGATATATAATTAATGTAGGCTTAATTAAAACTAAAAATACTACCTTTATGTAGTATAAACACTACCAAATACGCAAATATAATTGATATATTATTAACTTAATAGGAAAAAACTATAATTAATTAATTACATAACAATTACTCATGCTTACTAATTACTAAATATACTTTAATTTGACCAGGTATCTATTTCACCATACTATTCATATCATGCGTGATCGGGCTATCGTTGGACCGGCAAATCGGCTCAATACTGATATTCTCGTTGGTCTTATCGCTTCTACTATTCATTTGCTGCAATTGTAGCCAGTGCTCAAAGACCCGGGTTATAAGTGGGCACGTGCTGGTAGGGCCACCTCCACCTCTAGCCACCACAACCACCATGGATAATCAAACCAGATGGCCGGGTCAGGGGCACCGACACCTACAGTCGGACCTTCAGGCGGCCCTATCGGGCCAACCCCAGCCCCAGATAGCCTACATCATTGTGGCGCCCAGAGGTGGTATGGGGGCAGTGGGTGGTGGGGGTGTGGGCCCGGACACCGACGACAACGACCCGGTGATTGTGCTTCAACATCACTACCAGGGTATGGCAGGTCAGCCAATACAGCCCCTGTACCCGGCGTACTATCCGACCAATCAGAGGCAGCCAGTGTTGTTCAACCCGCCGCCGCCGCCCACCTATGATGAGTCCCAGAATCAGTATAAGTGATATATACAGTGAATGGAGTTAATAGGGGGTAAAGGTAGTCAACTCTCCACCCATTGCTGGTCACCTGCTAATTGACCATCAAGTGATTTAGTGTAGTTAATAATTATACTTAATTAATAGTTATGTAATAATTAATTAATTGTTTATTAATGTTTCTAAGAAGTGATTTTTAAATTCATTATTATTGACTATAATTGTTTAAAATATGATATATTTTAATTGTAATTTTAGTTATAACTAAATTTAACTAATTTATAAATTAAATAATTTAGTTTATAATATATTGAGAGAGAGAGAGAGAGAGAGAGAGAGAGAGAGAGTTGATAATTAATATATTAATTTAGATTAAATCAGTACAGTATATATATATAACATAATTATAATTTTAAAATAATAAGGTAAATTATATTTATAAAAAACAGATATTATTTTCAAAATAACCTAAATACATTATGCAGTACTTATGTAAACATAACGTATTAATTTGATTACAAACAGAAAAACATAATACTTAATTAAATTCTATAACATTGATCATCTATAGTTAATTAAATGTAAAACTCAATTTAAAACAAACTGATAAATTAAGTCCGAAATAAACTGTGATAAGAAATACTAAAATTGTAAAATCAATTAATTAACAATCTGATAAAAATAACCAGGTAAGATTTATTAAGTATCTCAATTTATTTATTCGAATAATGTATTTATAATTTGTTGTCATTTTTATACAATAATAATAATTATAATTTATATTAAAAAATTATTTATCGTTTTGTTTAAAAAAAATCCAATTTATATAAGAAAAACACAAACACTAGCATTAAATTTAGGTGAAACTTGTATAGCATTTAAACATTACAATTATAATTACAAACATTACAAAAATACACAAAAAACTTATAAAAATCAAATAATCACAAAAAACTATAATAATCGACAAAATGACAGAAAAATAGTGTTTGTATTAAAAAAAAACATATGAAAAACGGGATGAAAATACGGGAAACAGAAAGGGAACGGGAGAGAGAGAGAGAGACTGTCACTACCCTGTGCTACAGACACACGGGGTTAACGTTTAATCACATGCACTCTGGCCGACGGGCACAGACCCAACACGTTCAACGGCTTCTGCATGTCCTCTTCGGTGAAGGCCGGAAGGGGTGGCATCACAAACGATATCTCGCCCTCCATTGAGCACTGGGTGTACACATAGACGCGTACGGCGCTCAGCGACTCTCTTGAATCAAACTCATTGACCAATTGACGGCCGTCTAACAAACGTATGGCCAATCGGGTCTTGCCGTCCGAGTTGAGCGAAGCGGCCGGTCGTGCGGGAAGTGGCACAGGAGCCGCAGCCGCCGCGGCGTCGGCCGTAGCGGTGGCGCCGGCCATAGCCGCGGCGTTGCGCCGCTTGTGGTCTTCCCGGTCGAGCGCTATCTGGCGAAGAATGGCGTCTTTGGCCGCCTTCTCTGCGGCCTTTTCGCGCCGCATGTCTTCGGCGAGTCGCGCCCTCTGCAGCTGTTCCAACTCCTCCTTCATTTTGCCCATACCCTTGCCGTCCTCCCGGCGCTTGATCTCGCGCGCCAGCGCTTCCTCTTTGTCTTTCTCTGTTGTGACAAATAAGACAATCAGTGGTTAACGTTTGTAATGATGCGCACAACAAGTGTAGCAAACAATTGGCCGATGGAAGTGATGGCCAGACTCGCAGACAGACACAGACATACACATGGATGACATGCCGGGCAAATGGCCACACACTGCAAATCAAATGGTGACCAGAGTATTGGCCGCACCGGTGATGGCCAAGACATGTCTGCCATCACTGTGTGTAGTGTATATCTGTCTGAGCGCTGACATCACCACCAATCAGATCCCATCGGCCATCCATTCAGGCGGTCATACCTTCGCGTTCTTTGCGGCGAAGTTTAATCCTCTCCTCATATAAGGCGCGCTTCTCTTCGGCGCTCAAACCGCTCTCAGCGGCCGTCTGTTCGGCGGTCAGCGCCGGCAGTTTCAGTACACTGTCATCGGTTCCATCAGTGGTTCCAGCGGTGATTGGGCCGCCATTCTGTTCCGACTCCAGCGTCTCGATGGCCGACTCGATGGTCGCCTTTTCGCCCAATCGGGTCAACGCGTCCGCACTGATGGGCAAAGAGAGACAAAAAGAGACGGCATATCAATACATGGCTCGCATAAGACACGGCCACTCATGAGTGGCGCCATTGATAATAATATACAGACATTTGTTTGTCTTGGAAACCCATTTCAATCAGCTGTTCCGTCAGTACGCTATGCGATGCCATTGTCCTCCGCTGTCTGTCGACCAATCAAATCGCTTCCACAGCTCTGATGTCTTTGCGGTAGTGTTTGAGTGGTAATGTCTGTTGAGCTGATCCCACCGGTGATGTCTTGAGCGGCGATAATAAACAACTCAATGGTAGAGACAATGAGAGTGTGTTGACAGACAATCACGTGTTATATGACATGTAATGCAATACAAATGACAAAACAGTTTTTTCAGTGCATTTGTTTATGCGATAACACGCTAACTGACAGTAACAATCAATGCACTCACTTATACCGTAAATGTAATGTATTATATAGAGTGTCAGTTAACCTGTTTTGTATTATGATATGAGGTTTATTATACGAGGGCTGAGACGAGCGCTGCTTTTATTAGTTTGATTGACTAAAAGTTTTTTATTGAATGTTTTATTAGTTATATTAAGTTATATTAATTAGTTTTATTTATATTTATTTACATTTAGTTATTTTTTAATGTTAAACTATATTAAAAGTTTTAATTATTTCTAAAATTAATACGGTGCAAGGGTCCTATTATTTAATTTTAATAAAAAATTAGATAATGTTACTTTTACTTAACGCAATTAGTTTAGTTTTGCCTACACTAAAGTTACGAAATAGTTCATTTGAAAATATGGCTTGATAAATTCATAAAATTAACTAGAAATAATTAAAAATTAAAATTGATGTTAGTGATTAAATAAAAGTCAAAATTAAACTATGCCTCAGGACCCTAAGTAAATTTTTGGATCAAATTTCATTAAAACATTTCAAGTATTGGCCTTATCACCGAATGATCAAGGTCCGAGATTAGCTAAACACACACGACCTTGATGGTTATGGTGATTATGGTGAGTGGAGAGAGGGAGCAATGAATTTTTAGCCCACTTTCCATGACGGCTGTTTAATGTTAACATTTTTTATTTTACATAGTTGCTATTTATGCGCAAACACACGCCGGTATATGATTGTGGTCGTTGTGATCAGAGGGTAGTATATTTTTTGAATAGGATAAATTGTGCGTTAAAATGGACATGGAAGAGCTGTCATTAATTATTATGTCGGAATATGACAATGGTAAGTCCGTTTGATTTATGTTGGTTATTATTGTTTTGTAAATTTAAATTAACTTAATTTATTGACATGGGCAAGTTGCTCGAAGTCCTGACCATCTTGCTTATATAGTGATTGATTTTGAAACTTTATAAATATATCATTACATTTCAACAGTTTTGCATAAATTGCTATATTTTTTATTTGATGTTTTATTGGTTGCGAATTATTTGCTTATGAAAAATGTGTGTTTATATTTTTAAAAAAGTTATATAATTATTAATTGCAACACATCTGACAATTGGTTTTTATTGTATGATTAAACAAAAGTTAGAGAGAGAGAGAGAGAGAGAGAGAGAGAGAGAGTCTAACAGTCAAGATAATTATTATAGATAATAATCATAAATATATTATGTTTAATAAACAAGTTTGAAAAGTTCATTAGCCTTTATTGATTGGCTCTCTCTCTCTCTCTCTCTCTCTCTCTCAATAAACAATTAGCAATTTAAGTTTGATAACTGTATTATGATTTTTACCATAATTTCAAATGGTGTTCCACCGGTATATTTAATTACATACAGTTATACACATTTATACAGTACATGTCTTGTATTTAAGTTTGTACATGGGTGTTTTATGTTTAATTTTAATTGCTCTAGGACTAGTTTGCCGGTTAGAAACATAACTTTGTAACTGTATTTTTACGGATGACTCAGTGTACCCAATATTAATTATATAATTTCTAAATAACAACAAATATTTGCTTTTGTTTTAACTGTTTGTTTAATTTTGTTGCAAATAATACACTTATGTTTAACAGTTTTAACAGCTTTTTAATGTAATTCTAAAATACATTTATATTTTCAATGTCAGCGAAATTTTTGATTGGTTAAAACCTATGGTATTTGAAAAAGGTTGAAACTAAATACTATATAAACTGGTGTATTTAAGCTCAATGTTTTTTTCATTCAACATATAGTAAATTAAATACAATATTTTTGTGTATTTTATATGAAATTCATTTCACTTTACGTCTGTAAATGTCAAGTGAATATCAAATATACATATTTTTAATTAATATAAAATATTTGCCTAAAATATATTGTTTTATTGTTTATGGTGAATTTTGCTATATTAATTTCTAGTGTACCAAGTGTGTACAATAAACTGAATATTACTGTATAGTGTACACTATTGACACTGGCAATTTGTGCTTCATGAACTTTTCCGATTAATGTAATCTCATTGACAAAAAAGCCTCTCAATAAGTTTTTATCTCAAATTATTTATATATATTTACAGATATTTGTAATCTATAATACTTAATAATAAAATCCACAAAACTTTCATGAGTGTTTTTTTTCTGCCTGCTATCAAATACACTATGAACTATGGGTTGCCAATGGTATTGTATGGGCACTTACGGCATATTATGTGATTTTAACACTCATTTAGTACATGATTATTAACAGAGCCGTTAGTACCCGGAGCCTATTGACACATTACAACTAGATGAGTTATTCATTTGATAATAACCACGATAATTGTTGTAATTAATATTAATTGCAATTAACTATGTTATAGAATTCAAACAATATTATGTTTTAATTGTTCACATACATGATGGTGAATTAATATTACATACATTTATGAATATCCATGTATGAGTGCGTTTAAAACATTGAATCGTGATTAGTTTTACGTCAAACCTCATTAACTATACGATGTGTTTGTGATTTATATATAAATATATCATAAATTGACAGTTTTATAATATGAAGGACCAATTGGTGGCCAACAGTCTGCCATACAATGCCAACAATCACCATCATCACTATAACAAACGTATTACATTTTTACATAATACTATATTTAAAATAATTAACCACGACATTTTTATTTAATTAAATATTGTATAAATAGCTCATATATTTTTATTAAAATAATTAATAATTTTTATTAACTATATTATTATTATTTTTAACCTTTAAAATATGATTAGTAAATTATCTGCAATATACTGGATATACAGTGTATACGTCAATAACCGGGGGAACAGATAGGGTTAGTACACAGTTCCTCATGACTGCCCGACCCCGAAATTAATTACATTTCCCTTTTAAATACATTATATTAATTATAAATTCATCAAATTAGCCTACATTTTACTTTTTATAATAAATAATAAACAATTAATTATAAAAATTTAATTTCTTGCTAATAAAAATAACAATTTATGATTAATTTCTAAATTATTCTAAACTACTATCACATTTTATTTAAACCAGAAACATCTATGTAGCAATTTTTTGATGACATAAACTATAATTTTATTTTGATATAATTATTTCATTAATCAATATTTTTAATCAAAAATACACATATTAAAACTAACAAAAAATTTCACTTTTATAAATCAAAAACATTTTACAACTGCTATTTATAAATAAAATGTTTATTGAAATAATGAGGTAGTGCTATCTTGTAAAGTAACCAATACCATATTTAAAGTTAAAAATGTTTAAATGTTAATGCATAAAATAACTATATTTAAATTACTATTGTGGTAATATAACTTATATAACATATTATGCTAAATATTATTTAATAGGCTACTAATAATAGCCAACGTATTTTATGAAACACAAATAATGAATAATCGGTTGTATAAAAGCTATTTATTTGAGTCAACCCTTTGGGAGATAACGCCTTTATAGATGATAGTAATGAAAGCTTCAGATTATTCGCCTAAAAGCTCAAGAATACAGAATAATATGAATGCCTTATCATTAATATTATATCAAAAAACGTGATAAATTAAATACTTTTACCAATATTTGACATTTGCATTCGCTATGAATAGTGGGATATAATGCACTTTTTATACTGTGTTGTAAATTACAGGGTTGGTTGTTATTAAAAGTATAGACAAAAGGTTATTGGGTACGTTTAGACAGCATTGATAAAATGTGCTGTTTATTATAAATTTACATACATTTTGTAATAATTTTATAATAGTTTATTAATTCTATTTGTTATTTAACATAAATTATTGCTTTTCAAATTAAGCATTATTTTATTTACATTTAATTTAAACTAGTTATTCTTAACTTAATATTGTTACTTAATACAATATTTTGTACACTCACTTACCGAACACCCTTTACTGAACTAAAACAACCACTCTCTCACATACACATACATGCAGTCTCACATGTATTTCATAATAATACCGAGTTCATTGGGTACGAGCTGCAAAAAACATCTATATTATCACAATATATTGAATAAGGTACTTATAAAACAGTGCGATAATTGTTATTTTAATCATACGAGCTCACTAGTGGTTAAAATCATACGAGATACGTGAATTTAAATACCCCGATTATCTGCGTTTAATATTTATTTTAAACCAGTTTAAAATACAATGTGTTTAATTAATATTAACATATTAAATAAATATTCAAAAATTTAGTAATTAAAGTCAAATAACATTAATAATATATTTTTCAACCCTAGTCCAAAATTACTTTAAACTGTTTAATTAATACCATATTGATATACTGTTGAATACTGTTTGAAGTTTTATGTTAACTAAATAATTAAATAAAAAATTACCAGTATACACTATATAAAATTTTTAATAATTAAAAATGATCAATCTCGTTTCGGACGCAGACAAGTCCAACGGCAGCCATGGCAACGTCAACCACGAGCCCAGAGCAGGCAAACCACCCAAACCGCACCGGTCTATATCGTGGTCGCAACTACTGTTGCCATCGTATAAGACACGACTCGCGGAGTTCAGGAAACTGTTTGCCAAACACGTGCCCACCAACGAGCGCCTGATAGCCGACTTTTCCTGCGCACTGCAACGGGAGATCCTAATACAGGGCCGACTCTACCTTTCGGTGAACTATCTGTCATTTCACGCCAACATATTTGGCTGGGAAACCGTGGTGTCCATCAAATTGGCCGAGGTCACTGCGCTCACCAAAACTAATACGATCCGGGTGATTCCCAACGCCATGCAAATCATCATGGACAGCGGCCAGAAGTATATATTCACCTCGTTCGTGGCCCGGGATAAGGCGTTTAAGCGCGTGTATAGACTGTGGCAGGACGTCGTGATTGGCCAGAAAATGTCCGTCAGTGAGGTCTGGGAACTCATACATTATAACTATGGCAACGATCTCGGCGTGCCCTCTGACGATTCCGAGCCCGATGTAAATTTGATTTTTTACTAAACAATAACTGTTTATTTATTTATTCATAAGTTATTTTATGAATAACTTTAACTAGTTTAATTTATTTAAGCAATCAATTACAATATGATTTATAAATATAGTTATTTTAACATAATTGTTTACTTTTTTGTTTAATTATAACTAATTATTAAGACATTAATTTAGTTAAAACATATAAAATATAATTAACTAATAAGTTATTAAATAATTATTAATTAACCATGTTTGCATTTGCTAGGATGACGAGGAGTTAAGTATTGCGACGAGAAATAACATGAACATTGTTGAGGAGGAGTTGATTGACGACGACGTGTTTGACGGTATCGGTCTCGGCCCGCACCGGCGACTTCGGCTCCCTATGGCGTACGTATAATAACACAATATTACACCATATTATAAATGTTACAACATTTATTAATCATGCTATAATAAACATTTACCAATATTTAATCCCAAATATAACTTACAGACGGGAGTCGATCACATCATACCTAACCTGTCCGGAGTCGGTTGTGACGGCCGCTGTCCTGGAGGAGCAGCTCAACCAATTGGACGGCCAGTCATTAATCAGTGATAATAACAATAATAATAGTCATAATAATAGTACTTATGGTAGAAATCGGTGGACAAATAATAAACTAGTTAAGAGTTTTCTCACTTACACCACACGGGAGTCCTGTTATCTACGGGTTATACTAGTGTTAAGTGTATTACTATTGTTAACCCATTTGATAGTATTATATAAGTTGTGGAAAGTGAATGACCGAGTTAGGAGTGGTGGTGATGGTGAACACCAGAATGTAGTGGATGAAAAGGTGCTGGATAGTTTGCGACAATTGGCCGATATAACCACCAGGTTGGTTAGTAGTAAGGCGTTTACTAAACTAGCATGACCATTGTTTATATAAATATTTATAAATATATAATGTGTATAATTAAATATATGTAATAGTTAATTGAATTATTAGTTGATATGAAATGAAAGAATGTGTGTTGTTTACCAATGCAAACCAAAACCAAACAATTTAAAGTCATAAAAATATCATATTGATAAATATTTTGTAATTATATTAAAATGTTGTATTTTGTCACATAATAAATAATTTTATAACATTTTCTATGAAAATACATGCGTTTTTATATGTTTTTGTCTGTATTTATAATAAAAGTTCAATTTAAAACATATATCTACAATAGGCAACATTTTTAATTTTAACATAAATGATATGCATAATAAAATATCGGTGTATCTAAAGGTTAATTCAATATTTTATTTTTAATTTAAATTGATTTGACATTATAATAGTGAAATCTGTAACATTATGCAACTGCAATAATTACACCATTTTTAGTATATATTTTATAAACAAATACACCATGATGAGATATACTTTTTAATAGTTATACTCTTTTGAGAAATAGAGAGAGAGAGAGAGAGAAAGAGAGAGAGGCCAAAAAATTAAAGGTTAAGAAGTTATAGACTGTAATTATTAAACTCAACTAATTATGTGATATTCAAATATTAACATAGTGAATAAGCTTCTGGACGTTATGTCATCATCGGGTATTTAACACGAACATATTTAACATGCGCATTTTTTTGAAATTATAATAATCAATAGTATTATGTATCCAATATAATTTATCACAAAGTGCATTAAATTATAATTATGTTTAATGAAAAAAATTATATAGACCTAATCATGTTCCTAACATGTACAACTTAAATGCTAATATTAATCAATTCATATACAATGTACTGTACATTTTATTAATGTTAATATGAAACATTAATCTCGATGGTGCTTGATAGTCATAAAATATCTGTCATGCATAAAAATAAATGACAAAAATAATTAAAACAATTAAAAACTGTTTTTATTAATATTTGAATCAGTGTTTGACTTAATAATTGTCATTACAATTAGATCGTGGTTGTTTTTAAAACAAGTTTTACATATTTAATTCATTACAATTAAACACTAAAACTCAATAGACTTTGATATGAAAAATTAAAAAAAGTATTTATATTAAAAAAATATAAAATTTATATTTATTTTATTATAAAAGCATTAAGTTTGTAATTAAACCTGCGGTAAATTATAGGCGGGTGCGAGTTGTTTGTGGGTATGTATGCGGGGAGTTGTATGACGAGTGGGTTAGAGTAGTGGTAGTAGAAAAAAACCCGTGGGGTTATAGTCTAGTATCGGATGGTTCGGGCGGTGTTACCATAGGTGGACAGACCGCTGAGTCCGCTCAGACCGAGACCACTGCCATATCCGTGGCCGAGGGTTCGGTAACCGCCGAGACCGGCGTGGGCTCCGGTACCGTAAACACCGCCATAGACGGCGCGTTGACCGTAGAGACCGGTGTTGCCGTACAGACCGGCGTTGCCGTAGACGGCGCGCTGACCGTACAAACCTTGGTTACCGTACAGACCCTGGCTGTAGAGACCGGCGTGTCTGACACCGTATCCGTGGGCGAGACCCAAACCGACCGGTTTGGCCACAACCTGTCCGACGGCCTGATGATGAACGGCGGGCACAGCCACGGCATGGCCGGCGACGCCGACACCGCTGGCGGCCAATACACCGGTACCGCCGACGATACCGCTGGTCAAACCGGTCAATCTGACGCCCTCACCCTGGGCGATGTTGGTGTGGGTTTGCTCGATCACGGGCTCCACCACTTGGGTGAGCGATCTGTAGGGTTGGATCACTTCGTTCACCTGTTGGATCACCGGTCGGTTCACGTTATGGATGGCGGTCTGGGGCTCGTCCTCAGATTGGGTCACCTGGACTTGTCCGGGCTCGGCTGTGAACGTAGGCAAAACAAATATAATTATTTAAAACAGTTTGTTATATGTGTGTCACTACAATACAGCACATGTACGCTACGTTAATGCACAGTACATAAAATGCATATACAGTATACATACCGGGGATGTGCTGTTGAGTGACGGCCAGAGGGCTGCTCTTGGACTGGAAGTTGATTCTGAGGGGCGACTCCTGGGGCGGGACGTCGATGTCCTGAACGTGGGCGGGCTCTCCACTATAGGGCACCGGTCTGTAGTCAACGGTGCGCGAAATGGTCTGCACGGCGGCGTTGATGGGACCGGCCTGACCCACAGACACACCACGAGCGATGTTCAAGTTGGCCAACAAGTTGTGGCCCTGGGTATAGCCCTGGCTGTAACCGTGAGCGACGCCGACAGCCGGGTAGGCAGCGGTGGCGATGTGGCTGACAGCGGGTGCGACACCGCCGATGAGAGCGCCAGTGCCGTAGCCGAGAGCGCCGCCGCCGACGATACCGCCGGTGGTTCGCAGGGCTCCCAAACCGGCTGTGCGGCCAAAGTTGGCGCCGTAGCCGTAGTTGTTGGCGCCGTAGAGACCGCCGTAGTTGGCTGAGGATCGGTAGACAGGAATGCCGGACACGCCAGCGGACAGACCGCTGCCGTAGTAACCGCCGAGACCGCCGAGTCCAGTGCCGTAGCCGTAACCACCGTAACCGCCGTAACCGGTGTTATAGTTGGAGATGTATTGGCAGTGGACGGCAGCCGCCAACGCGAGGATCAGAACCTGGATGGTAAATTTGAATAAATAATATATTGATTAGTTTATATTAAGTTAGTTAGCAAGTTTTATAATGTCCATGATGTTTAACATATAAGTTTAGTAAATCATGGTTAGTTTGTAGTTTGCATACCTTAGCGAACATTATGGTGTTTTTCAGTGATCTATAAGCGAATGGCAGTTAGAGAACTGTGAGGACGAGCTACCCGTCCGGCACTCGCTTTTATACTCATCACTTTCGTTGTCATCCGTTCCTCCCTTTCCTCCCATCAAATCCATGGCCAGAGAAAGCCTTGAAATTTAAATAATAATATGTTTTTTACTTTTGCTCTTCATTTTAAAGGCACATAAAAATCAGTTAATCTTAAAGT